AGAGAGCAAGCACAGGCAGACAGAATGGCAGGCAGAGGCAGAAGGAGAAGCAGGCTCCCTGATGAGCAAGGAGCCTGATGCGGGACTCGATCCCAGGACGCTGGGATCATGACCTGAGCCGAAGGCAGCTGCTTAACCAATTGAGCCACCCAGGCGTCCCAACTCTTCATTTTTTAAAAGTGGAAATTTTTATATTTGCTAAGCTTCCTAGGTTATGTCTAGGACACAGCAGTTTCTACATTGACTTAATTATTCAAATTGTCACTTTCAACTTTTCATTCCAAATGTAACATAAACCAATAGACATATGGAAAAATGCCCAATCTTAAATAAATTTCATTATGAGAATAGTGAGATACGATTCTTCCCCAGTTTGGCAGTAATGAAAAAAATCATCTGAAATTTACCAAACACAGTGACAAAGAGACTCTGGTTAAAAAGACCTTCTCATGTAGTAATAGTGGGGTACATGGCACTAGAACTTACTGGAAGGAAGAGCAGTAATATCAATAAAAAAAAATATATGGGTACTTTGACCCCCTAATTCTTGTTCTAGGAATTTATTCCAAGGAAATAATTCCAAGGTTCACATACTTTTAAAAAGTTATTTACAGCATTAATAAAACCAACTACTTTGAAACAACCTAAATATTAAATATTTATAAAAAATACTATTAAATACTATTCAAATAGGTCATGGTTAACCAACCAGATAACCAGACAGCAGAGTCCTATTAGCCTACCTAAAAGAATGGTGTGAATCTACATGCCATAACATGGAACTTTCTCCATGTTGTTCAGTCAAACAAACCGACAAAAAAGGCTTCTATAAACCTGCATGTGTATGTAAGAGGCACGCAATGGATGTTGCAGATGTTACCAGCAAGTTGCCTAGAATGAACATCATCAAATTGGTGGTACAGAGTGGCTCTTTCTGGGTGGTGAGATTTCAGGTGCTTTTTTTTCTTCCTTTTTAAAATTATCTACATTATTTGAATTTTTACACAATGACTATGTAATATCCTTGAAAATGGAAAATGAATGGTTTTTAAAGATCAAGTGCAAACATCTCAAGGGTATATAAATTTTCTGGAGAAAAGGCAGGGCTAAACCAGAATAATGGCAGACTTTCAGAAGAAAAATGTGGAGGGATTTTGAAACTGACAGCTTTACACAAGAAGCTTCATCCTTCCCCAGTCCTGGAGGAGTCAGGAAAGGCCAGTGGTTTGGAGCCCATGCTCCAAGGTCAGTCCTTAGGTTAGAATATTAGCTCTGTCATTTACTAGGTGAGTGATGGGGCAAATTACTTAACCTCTTGTGTCTCAGTGTCCTCATTTATAAAATAATAGCTGATAAAAGCAGATAGCACCTGCTTCTAGGATTGTGGTAAGGGTTAAGGATAAATGAAAGATACCTACACAATGTCTGGCACATCACCAATGTTCAGTAAACATTAGCTCTTATGAAAACCAGCTTCACACAAATGTAGCCTAAGTGAGTTAAGTTATCCAGAACGAAGTGCTAATATTCATCCAGAATGAATAGTTAGGGAGAGTAAGGAAGTAGTGGACAATTAGGCAAAAAAATCCACAAAAGTAGATATCAAAATATCTAGGTTCTGCAGCATAAACATTCAGTGTATGAGCTGTGTGGTTTCAGGCAGGTGACTTAACCCGACAAGTCTTAACTGCTCATTCTGCAGAATGGGGATCATACAGAGAAGGCCATTTTAAGGAATAAATGTCAATAACACAGTGCATGGTTATAATAAGTTTTAAATACATATTTGGAACCAATAATAACGATAATTATTATCTACTATGAGATTCAGTAGTGAGCTCCCTGTCACTACAAGTAACCAAGTAGGCTTACTTACTGCATGAAGAGGATGATGCAGACAGGACTTAGTCAAATAATGAAGGGACAGACAACTGGATTTTTCCAGACCTAAAAATTCTGCAGTCTTTGAAAAACATAAAATTGATTGTGAAAGTGGAGTTGTTCAGGACTGTCCTACAGAGTGGTGTGGGAGCCCATCACTGGCAGGGCTAACTCCCCAGAGAGCTATGCGGTGCTGCAGTTCTCAGAAACCAACCCCACTCTTTCAGAGAGGTGAGGCAAGTGTGAGATGGTTGCCCCAAACTCTGTCCATTCTGTCCCAAGAGTGGCTCTGCCTGCTCTGGAAAAGCTGTGGAGAGTTGTTCTGGTACCCAAAACAAGGAAATCTGGCTGTAGATGAGGATGACAGTGTTCAGAGCAATAATGAACCCATACTGACCGCTTACTGCATGCTGATCTTCGCACTGAGAGATTTGCATAAATGTCTCATTGACTTCTCCCATTAGACCCGTGTATCTGTGAGTATCTATGCTATGAGCATCATCTGCATTTTACAGATTAAAAAAAAAAATGACGCTCAGAGAGGATAAGTATTACCCCCAAACCCTTCAGCCACGAAGGGACAAGGGTTTTAACTCAGGTCTAAGGTACATTCAGAATGTGAGGAGTAATTGTAAGGCTCCTGACAACTTGATAACTCATTTGCATTACGGATGGGTCGTATTCCCTTTCAGACCGGCCACTCAACTGCCCCAGCCTCACAGGCTTAGTTGGTCTTTCTCAAGGTAGCTGGGAGCCCAAAAAACCAAAACTGCCATGGGCATTATCTAACAATTCCTGGTTGGAATTATCTCCAGCCGATTATCTCCAAGATAATCCCAGTACTTAGCACTTTTATTTTCCTTTAAAATCCTTTAGTCAACCCAGGTGTCATTCACACTTGCCTAGTCCGGCGCTGTGGGATCCACTGGACTTCTAGAAATCAGGTTTTCTTTACCATAGCAAGTGCAGGGGACAGTCCCCTGTACCTCTCCAGACCTGCACACATCTTCAAACTCTGTTCTCAAATCACTGGTATAACCTGCCTCACAATGCAGGCAGATCCCAAGGGGACAAATTCAAAACATTGTGGGGAAGAACGCAGGCTTTGGAATCACAGACTCCCAAGTTCACATCTTGGCTCCTTCATGGAGTACTTACCCTCCCTGAACCTCAGCTTCCTCATCAGTCCAAGAAGGATTCGATACTCACAGCTGTGTTGTAAGGATTAGTGAGATAATGCAATGTTGGAAAGGGGCGGGGGTGCTCACTTAGGGTGCACATATACTAAAATGGGAAAGGCAATGGGGTGTAGAAGTTAAGAGCATAGACTGTGTAAGTTCAGACGCTAGCTCTATCATTAGCTGTGTGTCCTTGGGCAAGTTACTTAACCTTTCTGGGCCTCAGTTTCAGCTAAAAAAATGGGGATAATGATAGTATCCACTTCTCTAGGGTAGGGAATGAATGAGTTATGGCTTGGAAAGTGCCTAGCACAGCACCTGGCATGCAAGCGAGCACTTCTAAAATGTGAACTGTTATGATTAATGCATGTAAAGTCCTCAGTATGGTAAAAATAAGTATTCAATAAATGGTAACTGTTTTCGCTACAAGGTACATCTTCCGTGGATAATTTTATGCACCTTCATCTCCTGGAAAGCAATTGAAAAATGAAGACATTAGGGGAAAATCTTGTTCTTAGGTAAATCCTGCAGCCAAAGCAGAGGTAACTCACTGACCTGTTGCGCTACCAGGACGTCCTAGGACCCCCTTACCACACCCAGCCCTCCGTGGCTTCCAAGCGATCTGCCTTTTATTCAGCCATCCGCTTTCTCAACAGATGCTCATTATATACCCAAAGTGAACCTAGAAGCAGTCTGGAAATACCCAAGCAGTTAAAAAAAAAAAAAAAAAAAAAAAGCCTCCAGCCCCTGTCCTACTGAGCCTACAGGTTAGTGGGGAAGCTACACACTAAATAAATGCAGACGAGATGATTCTTTGGGGATGGCTGCAGTTTGTGTAATGAAGGATGTGCAGAGAAGGTACAGGAGGGGTCCTGCTGGGGTCTAGCACTGAAGGTGTGTATGAGGGAGGAGTCCTTGGGAAGGTTCCCTGAGGAAGTGGCATATAAGCTAGGACTTCAAAGATGAATGAAAGTTCACTGGGTGATGCCTGGGAGTGGGAGGAGGAAGCAGTCCAAGCAATCAGGCATTTTGTTTCAAGGTCTTGTAGCCACAATGTGGCTGGCTCACTAGGGGAACAGAAAAAGGGGCATTTCAGCTGACTTACTCCTAGAACAGCCACCCTAATGGACTTGGTCAAGGTGCTGGTATTTGGAGAGAAACCAGGTCTGAACTGCCTTCTCAGTTGCAATACTTTCCTCTTTCCTTCCAGACGCTTCCCACTTGCTGGCGGGACTGCCAGGCCTCAGACTCCTGCCGTGAGGCCAAGTGAGCTCAGTTCTTGCTCAGATTTCCAGAGCTGTGGACGGGGTTCACGTTGCCTACATGTGAGCTTCAGCCAAGACACTCCAACAGGGATTCTGCCCTCTGAATGCCTTCGGATGCCTCAGTCCTATCCTGGTCACAGCCCACTGGGTTTTGTGATGAACAGGGAAACAGCATGAAAGAAAGCAATGGCCCCAAAGGAGGAACTTGTGATTGACACAAATGGGGATGTTCCCTTAGGGGCATCATGTATCGTCAAAGAATCCAGCCCCCAAGTTACTGATTTCCCCACCAGTTTACATGTTACAGAAAGCAGATGTGCTTAAGTTCCCTACAGTATTACAGTGGAAATTGATGCTTCGGGAAAGGAAGCCGTATGCTCTGGACGTAGCAGGTTTCTTTTGGAATTCACACACTGGGAGTCTGGCGCTATCCCCTAAATGGTACTTTTGTTGTCTTTTTGTTCAAGACAGCAAGCTTCTTCCAGGATCAGAACTGCCTGCCAGCCTCTCTGGATAAACAGCCCACCAGCTCTCTTGGTAGATGAGATGTTTAATGATTAGCCTAACTCATTGTTTATCTAAGTGGCAATTATCACCGTGATGAAATAGTATTTTAACTGCAGGGGAAGCATTACGGATAGCTCCCAAGGAGAATCTACTGGCTGGGAATGGCCAACGGAGCTTCCTATACACGGAGGAGAGGACCACTTCATCCTGGCTGGCAGATCTCTGAGTCTGAGATGCTATCATTAGATGCTGCTCCAAAGACCTAAGGAAATGTGCCCTGGAGAAGTGTATGGTCCCAGTCCTTCTAACTGAGGCTCAATGGCCCAGCAAAATATGAAAGTGCGGCCTGTGCTTCTAAAGCGTAACAGCCTAGAGTCAGTGGAGTTCGTGAAACAACCTCATCATCGCAGGAGCAAATCTCAGCAGGTGCGGTTCAAGGAAGATGGGACCAGTAAGACTCCACCTGGCCAAGCTGAGGTGGATGTGCAAGCTGTGATGGGCAAGACTCAGGCCTCCAGGCACCATCACCTCCCCACCTACTCACTCTCCTTCCCCAGGCCCCAGAAGGCAGGGGGCTTTCAGAACATTGCGATCCAAACCTCCCCCAGTCTCAGGAAGCATTTCCCAGTTTTCAAAAGGAAGAGACTCACAGCCAGCAAGTCCCTGGTAGAAATGCCAACAGCCTCCCAAAGTGCCATCCAGGTCAACGGCAACCTCTCCGAACAGGACATTGTATCCTCGGACCTTGCCTACTTAAGATTGGCTCAGCATCTTGAGGATGGGCCTCGAAGAGTCAAAGTGTCCCACCCGTTTCCTCCTAGAATGTCCAAGGTGCAAAGCAATGGGCCTATTAGCGTATGCTTGGAAGCAGGGACTTGGAAGATCTCAGAGAAAGCAACTGCTGCCATTCAGGTCCCAGATGACATTTACCACAGTCCTACATGGGCAGCTAGAAAGTCCACTTTCAGTCCGGACAGGTCAGGTGACCTGAGCAACTCCGTACATCCTTTGGTGGACGTGTGTCCCGGTGATGGGAGAACAGTGCCACTCTCAGATTCAGAAAGATCCCCTCCCTGCTTAAATGCCACCAGCGATGCCAGCCACACACCAGGCACGGGGAAACTTAAACCTGAATTGCTTTTGCCCAAAGACAACGCTGAGGACAAAGACCTTGGCCCACTGTCATCTCGGTCAAAGGAAACGTGTATTCCGTCACCTCCACGGACTCACAGCTCCCCCTCACCAGGCTCTCGCAGCCAGCCCACCCATTCGGGAGGGGCTTCAGACTGCTCTTTGTCAAGTAACAATCACCAGGATCTGCTGTCACTCAAAACTAACGGCGTGTCAATTTCTGCCCCCACGTGTCAGGAACAGACGACAAAGAACCCCACCCAGTCAGACACCATGGAGTTTCAGAATTGTTCGGGGAGCAATCACCTCCCATCTCCTCCTCCAAGAAGGGAGACCAAACTTCAGAGGGACAGAGAGACGGGTGGGATTAATCCAATTCACCTGGCACAGGGGGAGCTCTGTGACCTCCAAGGCCGGCTGCAGTCCGTGGAGGAATCGCTGCACTCGAACCAGGAGAAGATTAAAGTCCTTTTGAATGTAATTCAGGACTTGGAGAAAGCTCGAGCTCTCACAGAAGGGTAAGGTGAAGGTGTTTCTATTGAAAACTACTGGGTTACGTCTTTTGCCAGGACAGGGGCAGAGAGAGCACTGGTTCCTGTTAATATAATGCCTCCAAAGTCTTTGAGGTTCTGTGGTTTCGTTCCTTTCTAGGCTTTGGTGGATTTCCATTGCTATTTGTTTTAGTGTCCAGATATCAAGAGACCGGAGAAAGGGGGGCAGCAAAACAACAGGATCAAAAAGTATTTTTATAAAGAGAGGAGGGGGGTGGCCAGATAGTAAATGACGGCAGAAGATGAGAGCACATGGCTACTTCCCCCATTCCATCCTTCCAGCAAGTTGCTGTATTTGCACAGGATTTTAGTTATCTGTGTGCTTTTTACAAAGAACTTGAGGTTACCGTTGACCTTCCCCCTCCACTGACCACGTGGATGGATTTGGCCAGTCCATCCCTGATCCACTAAATAGGAACTGAAATGAGATCACAATTCTGCAAAGAGAAAAAGTTACAAAATACTTTCCTGGGTGACTCAGCACCAGTCTGGGGAGGGGTAGGCAGTGGTTTGCTTAGGTGTGGAAAGCTTGTCCTTTGAAAAAATGCCCCCCAAAGCCTGGGAAGAAGGAATGAGTAAAGCTAATCAGCAAAAGGGCAGGAGAAGGAAGAAGTTATTAAGTGGTATTTGCTGATATGAATCAGACCCAACATTGCCTTATAAGAAAGAAGCACTGTGGTGTTAGGGAGAAATGCATTGAACAAAACGGTCTGGGGTTTTAATAATCTCCCTTCTATTTGCAAGGTCCCTCAGTTTCCCTCACTATTGGTGGGGGTAAAAGTAACTGACTCATCTCACCGATTTATTGTCAGCATGAAGAAAACCTCAGATACAAAAGTGCTTAAACATTTATAATGCCCTCTAGAAAAGTGAGGTCCTATTATCATGGGTTTCTTGTTTCTTTATTTGTTACGCAACTCTAGAGCATTGCTACTGATAAGAGGGGTAATGCTATGCTGTAGGAAACCAGTAGCTAGAATGTGTGCATCCCCTGGGGATTTTGTCCAGGGACTCATCCAGCAAATGCTCTCTCTTGCAGGCGCAACTTTTATCGAACTGGTCAAGATCTCAACAATTGCAGTACCTGCCAGAACACGGCGTGCATCATATACAGGTACCTGGCCAAAACCAAGGCCTCTGCTGTGGAGCACAGAAGCTGTGGGGGCCACAGAGCCCTCTTGTAAACTCTCTTAGACACAGAAAGCCAAGTGAGAGGCAGAAACAGGAAGCCTTTGAATACCTAAAAGCTAAAAATTAAAGCAAAGGTGTTTAACGATGAAATGTTCGTATCTGGTTCCGAGGCGGACATTGCTTGCTTTCTGCACAAGAAGGTCTGTGAGCAAATCCCATCGAATGACCTACCCTTACTGCACGCTGAGTGTTGACACGGCGCTAAGCTCTGCGTGGTGTCTGCATCTCATTTCACAGTTACGCCTTGTGAGGCAGGTGTCCGTGTCCTCAGGGACGCTAAGACATGTGACCTAGTTTTGCTTTAAACATTTTCAGCTAGCCAGAGAGGTCAGACTCAAATCCAGATCTTTCTGATCCCAAGCCTTGGGACCTCAATCCAGCACACCGCCTCTTCCTCAATGCTGCCTCTCACATGCCAAGCGTGTCCTGTGTGTCAAGAACTGTGCTAAGCACTTTGGGTTCATTACTAAGTACATCATTTCCTTCTAGTGGTAGTGGGGGCGGTGTATGGTTGCTACAGTAAAGTAGATTTGTAGAGTGGTAGATGAGAAAAATCACATAGTGGTAAGTGTGCTAAACGTGAAGTCAAAATCCCCAAGACTGATGCCCATTCAACTGTCTCGGGCTCAGTTGCCTCATCTGTGGAGTGGGGACAATTATCCTTATTACCGGTGGCCATGAAGAGCAGATAAGCTCATTTTTGTGAATGCCTTTATAACTGCAAGCCTCTGTACAAATCCAAGGGCTTATTACTGTTATTACTAGAAAGATCATTGCTCCCTTAGCTGGCAGTCCACTTTCAGTAGCGTGGTAGAAAAGTGGTCAAAAGCAGACATTTCCGGTGATGGCTTCTAATTTTGTCTGTCTAAAATATACAGTTGAGCTTTCTCTATTACTTTTCTATTTTGGAGAAGAAAGGCAGTGAGAGCCTAAGCAAACTGAAGCCCGATTGTATTGTCTGTGTCTTCTTTTTAAAATCTCTTTCTCTCTAGTGGAATCCTGGGATTTCATCCTAACAAGGGATTGGGAGGTAAAGGGGTGCTGGAAACAGAAGTCAGGAGGCCTCTATACTTAGGGCCTAGGACCTTGAGCATTTTCTCAGTGAAATGTCAACTCCTTATGCTTGGGAGTCACAGGACCATGTCTTTTCATCAAATAACACAAGTTTCAGGACCACTCACAGGAAATGCCCTTTATCTTAGTGTAAAATATCCCCTCAAAAAAGGGAGCCCTGGAAAAGGTTTCTGGTATAGGAGTGTGTAAATAGGCAGTCTTATCAATTGTTTACCTTTTTTACTCTATTTTTTGTATCTCCTATGTTAAGTAAATTTCCTAATCACTATGAGGACAAAAACTATTGAATGTCTAGACATTTAGGGAGGACAAAAACTATTCATCATAAACAAGAAGAATGATTTTTAATGAACTTCCATTTAAATTTTGGATAATTTATTTTTTTCAGCATGGTATGCTATATTTTCTACCATCTTAGGATGACTTTTTATTTAGCTCTGTAAATGAAAAGGAGAAGTAGTTATTTCCCAATCTACTGTGAGTGTCATGGCCTGGTCTTGAGCAAATCATTTCTGGCCTCTGAGTTTCCTCATGTGAAAAATGAGGGCTTTTAATTAGATGGTCCCTATGGTCCCTTTCAGTCCTGACATTCTGATGTTTTATGCTGAATTCAAAGTGGCAATATTTGGCTAAACTATGACCTTCCAACAAGTCTGAGAATGTTTGCATTTTTCTAGTATGTACTTCAAACATCCCAAGCAAACATTCTAAATTAAGTTACACCCCTTCACAGATTAGCAAACCTTCACACACACACATCACTTCCTAGTTGTCCAAGAACAGCCACTGAATGCCTCCATCCCTTATTACCATTCAAAGCCAGACTGCTCTCCCAGACAGTATCTACAACCTTGAATCTAAGCCATTGCAAAGGAACGGACAATTAATTTGATGAAAACAAAGAGATCAGAACAACATCCCCGTCAGAGTAACAGTGGGAGGATGAGAGTTGTCATTTTTTTTTTTTTTTTTAACATTTCAAATGACTTCAAACCTTGTGTTGTGTCCTGGAAAGTCAGATCTTACAAACTGATGAATAAGTGATGTGAAATCCTCATCCTCAGGCCTTGTTAAGCTTCAGTCTCTCTCCCTGATGATGGATGGGCCCAGTCCCCATCACTGTACATAAAGCACATGGGCGCCTGATAGTTGCCTGCTGGGTCTTCTTCTGTGGAGATGTTGCTGTTAAGTTAGCAACACATAAGGTTTTCCAAATGGTCTCATTAGCCAAAGGCTATGGCTATGCCACTCACTTCCATCAAGACATGTGAGGTCATTGGTTCTATCCAACTCATTTTCCCTGCTCCAAGAACAGCCCTCTGGGTGCCCTGACCCCATGCCTCCTTGACTTTCTTCTTACTGTGGATCATTCTGGCAGATTCTACCTCACCAAGGAGAATAGCACTAATACAAATGCCTACAGATTCCATGCATAGCTCTTAGGAGATCTCAGGGACTTCCTTACAGCAGGGAGGATGGGCTCCTTGGAATTGTGACTACAGAAGGTACCAAGGGAAGAGTGTGGGAATTGACTCTATACTGTAAGCTGGTTCCAGGCTGTTTTAGTCCCCAGTCATTCTCCTCACCTTTCTTTAGTGTTAATCCTAGGACAAGTTACTCAAAGGATTGGGTGAATGCCACCTGTGGTACCAACATTAAGTAACAGTGAATTACATGATGAGAAGGTTGTCCTTTTTTCCAAACTTATTTCAATTCCTCTGATTATCTAACAGGGGAAATCTGAGTTTGGTACTAGAGTATCTTCAAAGCCTTCTAATGCTTGCTTATTACACTTCTTTGCCAAGAGAGAGCTGCTCTCAGGTTCATAGCCATAGACAAGCAGTGGTATCTAACCAGAGGGTAACTGTTTTCAATTTTTTACTGAAGTTTTTAACTTTGAAAACTAGTCCCTCTATATATTCATTGTAGGTATATATTCAATCCAGGTGATGTGGATCTTCACTTTCAAAAGAGGTATTACTTGCTTTGGATAAGTGTTCAGGTTTAAAAGTGAATTGATTCAGAGAGAGAAAAAAAAGTAAGTAAATGTGCAGATGGTGTGGGGAGTTTCACAAAGACCTGGAAGGTGGTGAATGAACCATGAAGCTTGGAAAAAGCTATCCTAAGGAATAAGCTCTCTTTCCTCTTCTCAAGGCCCTGGGGTCCCTCCATGCCACATCCCTCCTCCATCCCTTACCCCTGCTCTGCTTTTCCAGCACTTTGTCTTCACTCTAAAAAAAATAAATAATCACAGAGTCTCTTTGGAGGTCTTTGGCTACACAAATCATGCATTAATTTTCTGGACATAAATCCCAGAAAAAATCTGCTTGGTCTAAGTTGTAAAATGCCTCAGATGTTGTAGGGAAAAGAATAGAAGTCTTTCTTATAATCCCATCTGAGTGTGTTGCTTAGGAAATGCAAAGAGGAAGCTGCAAACTTACCATCTGAAATAGGTGAAGGGAGAGGTTGGCCATGGAAGGTTTGAAAGATTCTAGAGAGGAGAGAGCAGCAAAAGAGTTGTTGTGTGTCAGGGAGGTTTGAGGGGGAGGGGATCTATCTGAACAGCTGTCTCCTGCCAGCTCTTCTCAGCCTTAGCCTCTTTTCATGGTTCCCACTGCACTCATGGATTTTAAATTTATTTCTGTGATACCACCCTCCCCTACCTTTTTCATGAGATTGTTCTCTCTGTTTACCTATAAATATTTCCATATGGATATCTCAAAGCCACCTCAAATTCACCATTTATCAAAACACAGGCTGTATTTTCTTCTTATTATTTCTGATGTTCTCAACACCATTAACCATAACACCATAAACCTTAGTTCCCACTGCCTCACTCTTCTCCTTCATAGCACACATCAAAGTAGCTACTAACTCTACTTGCTAAATCCATCCCCTAAGCTTCATCACCTCTGTCTCTGGTCAGTCAAGGCCCTCACTGTTTGTCACTAGAACATGGCCTTATCTTTTTGCCATAGGTCCCTTTTGCCCCATCCCAGGGAATCCTCCACACAGATTGCTAAATTACCTGAAAAGTAAAATCTTAACACGTCACTCTCCTGCTAAACAACTTTATCCTAGTTTCTGTGGCTGCATTTAGCTCATTTTTCAGGGTCCTTTGAATGTGATACTAACCTTCTCACCTGCTGGGTCTCCCATTTCTCCTCAGCCACAGGAACTCTGGCTAGTTTCAAATACTGTGTGTTCTATCATGCCTTGGTTCCTTTGCATTAGCTCCCTCATTTCCTGGAATGCCTTTTCTGCTCTGCCTTGTCTGGAAATTTCATCTTGCAGCTTAAAAGCCCGTTCCTCTAGATAACCTTACATTACTTCCTGTGGGGGAACCCCATGGCATGCATGTTCTTTTGCCATACTGTTCATCCTATTGCATTGTAATGTAATGTTGATGAGTTTCTTTCCTTCAGCCAATGGCTAATATCTCGAAGTGGTGGGCAGTGTCTGGTACATAGTTGGTGCTCTGTAGATATTTGTCAAAAAAGGAAATGGCTACATTGTCTGGGGCAAGGGTTGGAGACAGTGATTTAGATTGCCCAAAAGTACAACGATTGTTACCATTTGTGTGTGCCACTACTCTTGGGTAGGGAAGAGGAGGGTCTTAATTAATCAAATGTTCTTATTGGGGAAGAAAGGCAGCAGATCCTCAGCAGATGTTTTTGAACTGAATCAAACAACAACTAAAGGTAGTACAGAGATTGTCAATTTTCAAATACCTGGAATGCTACATATTCTCCACAAGATGGAAGGTCATCACACCCTCCTTAGATGACTCAGAGAGCTTGCTGCAGTTTCACAGGACGTTGAGATCCTCGTTCATCATGGCCATCCAAC